GCGTAACGCACGCAGCGGCGTCGAGCGAGGGGCGGGGGGAACGGGCGGTTGGCTGTCCACTACTAGTGGTCGCGATTCAAAGGGCACGTTCGTTGTGGATTGAGGGGGTAGCGCAGCGGCATAGGGCGGAGCCTAGCAGCTGTGGTAAGCAAGGAACGCCGGCTGAGGAGCACGAGGTGGAGCGCGAAGCGACTGGTGTCGGCGGGTCGACTTTGGGGAGTTGTGAGGTTGAAGCTCGGTGGCGTGCGGAGGAGTGCAGCACGGTTGTCTCGGCTGGTCACAATGGAGAGAGGAGGTGCCGGGCTTGGCGCTCGTACGCGGCAGTTGCCAAGGCGATTGGCCGTGGGCCAAGTCAGGCGCAGGCGGAGGCAGGGCTGCAGGGCGTGCGGTCACTGTGTTGGATCCCTGGGTCAAATGCCGATGGCCTAAGGGCAGCGGAGGGAGGCAAGGAAGGAGGAGGCTGCTCGACGGTCGCGGAGGTGGTTCAGCGGGTGTCGGGGCAGGTTCCGGTGGTGAGGGGAGGCGGTGTGGCGAAGATGATGGCACGGGCTGGCCTGAGCAGTGGCGGGGAGTCTATAGAGTGACGGAGCTAGGCGAGCTCAGCTTCAGCGGGAGCCTGCAGGTGCGAAGGAGCTCGCAGCGGTCGCGTTGGGGAGAGCGACAGTGAAATGGACTGGAGAGTGGGCTCGTCACAGTTGGAGCTCGAAGAGGGGGTGGCATGATGATGGGACGTGCCGTCACGACGCGCTCGTCGTGGCGTCAGGAGCGCGGTTCCCGTCGGTGAGGTGGTGATGATGATGGAGAGAGAGGGAGAGAGAGAGAGAGAGAGAGAGATATTGAGATGAAGAGAGATAGAGAGAAGGGCTGAGAGAGATAAAGAGAGAGAGCTGAGAGAAAACGAGAGAGACTGAAAGTGATAGTGAGAGAAAGTGAGATGGTGAGCTGGAGAGAAGAATTGAGAGAGAGAGAGAGAGAGGACGTGGGCGTGCGTGAAATAAGAGAAGAGAGAGAAGAAGAGGGTGAACACGAGGAGGGATTTGGGGAGGAAAACACGGAGGAGTAGGGGTAGGGGAGAGAGGGCAAGAGAGAGAAAGATATTGATTGGAGAGAGAGTGGCTGATACAAGGGAACCGGGGGAAAAATCAGATAAACAGATTAACAGTCATGCTGATCAGTTGATAGCTATAAATAGAGGTAGGAATAAGGGGGTGCGACTAAAATTTTATACAATATAATTAATAATACAAATAAAAATAATAACAATAATGAATAACCAAATATTAATTAAAAAAGCCTTTACCATAATAATTTAATTTATAATTAGCAAAACCATTAAAATAAATATAAAACCAGATTTTTAAATTATAGAAAATTCTATAAAATCGGGAAAAATATAATTACTCTTTTAGAAAATAAAAGTTAATATTTAAATACTAGAAAAATTATTTAAACCAGTATTAAAAATTTACGATCATTACACAATTTTATATTCATATCTTGTTATATTAAATTGAGTTAGAATTTCATTGTTCTCATTTATCACACACACCCTTATTGAGCTTAGATTATTTCATACAATATATTAGTGGGTATTGGTGTTTGAATTAGTGAGAGTGAGCTTCATTGTGTTCTCATTCATTATAGAGAACAAAACATTGTATTTAAGCTTATATTGTGAGTATCACTTATAATACACTTGTACACCGAGAGAAGTGTGTGGTGAGAGACGGGGTCGAATCCAAGAGGAGTGGCGTCAGTTGACAAACCTAGGGAGAGGTTGTATCCGAGCATTTGAGGAGGAGGACACGGGCTAGAGACCAACACTTAGTGTGTATAGTGTGATTGCATAGTGATTAATTGTGAGAGTTTTCAGTGAGCTTGAAAACCGAGTGTGTAGAAGTTCTGGCTTCCAAATCGGGTTGTGATAGTGGAGATCTCCTCGAGGTGAGGAGCGGGGACGTAGGTCGTGGGGACCGAACCTCGTGAACATATTGTGTATTTGTGTTTACTTGGCGTTCATCTTTATTTGTGCTCACATCATATATCGCTTTCATCTCTTTATTGTGTCACATTTATTTACACTTGTGTTTATATATCCTTGCATATATTTCACCATATAGGATATATCTCTTTGTTCATATTGTATATTCTTGTTCATAACATATTGTATATCTATTTTGTAAGAATAATTTATTAATAAGTTTTAATTAACATAAAATCAGATTAGATTAGCATAAGATCCTAATCACCCACTCTAGGGTTTAACAATGACCTATTGACTTCGACCTGCCTCTATTACCACCTCTCGGATATGAGCTTCTTCCCTTCGTAGACAAGACCTCTCCTGAAGTACTAGCACGAGAAGTCTCATTGTCCTTCCTCCTTAAATCATAATTTGTCAAAGCGTTAGTCACTTCACTATAAGTGATAGAAGATCTCCCGTTCAACAATGTAAGCACAAAGATATCATACTCTTTATCCGGTAAGGAGCCCAAAAGAATAATAACCTTGTACTTATCTGATATCTTCTCATCCATATTGGCCAAGTCCGACAACAACTTAGTATATTTTTTAACATGGACTGCTAGTGAGGTGCCCCTGGACATCTGAAATCTGAATAACCTGTGCAGCAAGTGTAATATGTTCTCAACACTCTTCGTAAGATACTTGTTGTTAAGAATTTCTCATATCTTCATTACAGACGTTACCCCAATCACATCATACTTCAACTCCTGTTTCAAACAGGACCTGATCACCCCACACGCATTCCTATTCATCTTTTCCTATATCGTCTCTTCATATTTTGGTGACCTCTCATAGACCATGATGGTCTCCTCCAAATTCTGAGCATTGAGCGCATCTTGTACATCGCTCATCCACAAACTAAAATTGATCTTGCCATCATACTTCACCACACTAATTTTGGTGTTCTGAAAACCAACTTGGACTGTACCCGTCATCTTGCTGCTTTCACAAACTTCTTCACCTATACTCACAAACTCCAAATTGCAAAGAAAGATTCAAACTTTGAAAGAATTAGGGAATTACCCAACTGAACCCTAGATTGAATTCAAAATAGAACTCCTAACCACACGAGGAAAGCAAGATCTTCAACGACAACTCTAAACTCTATCTCCGCCGAAGCCTAGAACTTCAAGAACCAAGCTTCCAAACTGAATCTTTCTCTACCTAATCCAAAACCCTAGATCTCAAATCTGAGCTCTGATACCAATTGTTGCACGCCTATGCGGAAGCGTGCTCACACACCGAACGAATATGTGATCACGGGAGAAGAGAACCAACCACACGCGAGCACAATTTAATCCAAATACGACAAATCAAATCTAACATAGAGACATATGTGGTTCGACAAATTGCCTATGTCCACGGAGAGAGGATGTGGAGATTCCACTAATCAAGGAGAGCACAAAGGGTTACAATCTCACAAATCACTCACACAAACCATAAACCAAATTTCTCAACTTGCTCACAAGTTCTCCCTCTCAATATGCTCAGTACAATCTAAAATCTCTGATTGAAACCCTAGAAAAAACATGTTTGATTATATATCAAAACACAATCACAAAAGTGAACAGGAAACCAAAGTCCAGACCTAGCCCGACTCGCTATCGACCGCAGAGCCACGTGCGGTCAACCGGACAGAACAACAGAGACTGAAAAAAATTACAGGGTTTGGCCAGTCGACCGCCGCGCTACTGGCAGTCGACCGCGAAAAGTCCAGAGACTTTTCCAGCTTGTGTGCACGTTTGCGGTCGACCGTCGCGCCGCTCGCGGTCGACCGCTGGAAGTCCGAACCTGTTTTCTACCATTTTCCCTATATTCTCTTCAGATGCAACTTGAAGCTCCCATTCACGACGCATCAACTCTTTAATGTCACATAAGAGACCTCTACATGATGTCGATGCTAATTTTCTATTAGAACATCCTTTAAAGTCTATATAGATAGGGTGTTCTCAGTTATAAATATGACAAATGACATAACATATTTTAAATTTGTCCTTTTTATTATCTCCATGAATGGCGCTAAACCAATATATTCTATACAAATATTACGATAGAATTTGTACTCAACATTTTGTTGGTTTTATACTATATTGGAAATAACATGAAGATTAAGGTTAGACGTTTATCAATAAGACTTTATTAATAACATTTCTAGAAGATCTCTAAAAAGGTAGAAAAGAAAAACAATGAAAAAAAAAACATAGACCTTGCACAAGCGTACCATCAAACAAGCGTGTTTGACAACTCATTAAACATAGGCCAAAGTTGCCCGTAGAACTGTTTTTGAAGGGAACCGAATTAATTGTGAAGTAGCTCTCTCCAGGTCTATAATTAAACTAGTTCAAATTCTAAGATACAAACTAGTTTTTGACAAAAAAAAAAAAAACTCTCTTTAACTGGACCAAGTCCAAACGTTGCCCAATTTTAGAGCGTTACCAAACTGAGTCCTATTTACCTTTTAGCCATAGGAAAATGTTGTTGATTGAAGAGTGTTATTAGGCTCCTCAATTCGAATAAATAATTTTGGAATTAGTCCCTAAAAAGTTGGAATTGCTTTTGGGTCCTCCAATCCTCATAAGTTTTTCAAATTAATTCCTCTATTTGCTACTTTTACTATTGATTGGAGGGCCTAATAACAAATTAAGTTAAGAATCAGAGGACCTAGAAGCAATTGCCATTACGTGAGGAGCTAATTTAAGAATAATTTAAGACTTGGCTCACCTAATAGCAATTTTTGAGGGGCTGTGTTTAAAATATAAAAATTGCTAATATCTAAAAAAAATGCATTAATTAAAAAATTGAATTGTTTATGTGAGTTCCCAATCTCTTATCCTTCCCCAGAAATCTCAAAACTGGCCTGCAAGGCTGCAACTCCCGTTACTCCCGTTCTACCAGGACCAGAATTTTTTGCCACGTGCACGCAACATAACAGGTTCATTAGGAATTCGAGAAAAATTGAGGGGCATTTTCGTAACTTATCAGAACCCTAGGAAGAGGCCCGTTCGCTTCTGCTGGGGGCCGCGGGTTTATGAGGCGGTGGCGGTTACCCGACTCGTGAATTGTTAGAGCGAAAAAAGAGGATAACGAGCCGTAGAAGAGGGCATCCCGAAGAACCGAAACCCTAAAAGGTAATTTTCTTAAAATTTATTTGATTTTTTATCTTTATTTTTTGAAATTAATTCGACGAACGAAACCCTAAGCTGTAATGTGCTTCGTTGATCTGTTGGTTTTCTTGTATTTGATCTTTGTTTTTTTAGGGTTAGGGTTTAGATGTTGCTTAGGGTTCTGCTTCATTTCAATGAGTGAAACCCTAGTTATTATTATTATTTTTTAATTTTGAGCGTTTATCTAATCTTATTGTTCTGTCCGAAAGTTTCGTTCTTTTAAAAGTTTTATGCAAATCTTTACTTTAGATTTGATGCTTTTTCTCAGAGAAGAATATTCCTTTTGTTTTTCTCGCATTGGAGTGTTAAAACCCAAAACTTTTAGTTAAGGTTCTTATTGTTGCTTTGACCTTTTTCAATTGCTCCCTTATAAGATTTCAATACAAGTTTGTAGATCTGAATACTTTCAGTTACATTTTATTGGGAATTCATGTGATTAAACATTTTTTTTTTTGGGTTTGTGGTAGAAGATGGATCGGTACCAGAGAGTGGAGAAGCCTAGGGAAGAAGCTCCTATAAATGAGAACGAGATTCGAATTACAACACAGGGAAGAATGCGAAGCTACATCACATATGCGACCACTCTTCTTCTGGTATGGATATATAAAGTCTCTTCTAACTCCTTTTTTAATCTCTTTATTTTGCTAGAGCATCTGATATTTCCCCTAATTATTTGTTACCTATGCAAAATGGTCTATGCATTTCTTTTTCATACATTCTGTGGTATATTAAGGAGGAAAATGCGTTGTGAGATTTAAGTCATTATATTTGTTAAAGAAATATAACATTAGTTTTTTCTGATATTTGTTAAAGAAATATAACAATGATTAGTGTGGAAACTTTTTCAAAAAAAACAGCCTTTTCTTATAATGATCCACCAGACCTAAGTATTTTAAAATAAGTCCCCTGAAACACATATTCTAAATAAATCCTCTGAATCTCAAAAGTTGTATCAAGTAGGCCCTTAATGTTATAATACATGACCTTCAACTCCAACACTTTCCATTATAACTCGCATCCTTTACCAAATTTTCGTTGTACGAAGACATAGTTGTTATTAGAAATCACTGCAAAGATTGAGATTACAAATTTTCTTGGAGAAACACCAAACTAGATTGAGGAGAGGAAGGCAAATGAAAGCAATGAAAAAGAGAGGAAAATGAAGGATTTAGTTCGGTTTTTAATGGGTTAAGGGAGCTTACCATTATAGGTATAGCTGAAAGTTTGTAATGAAGATGAGGGTAAAATGGCAAAGTTTAATGGTGTTATGTCTATTAGGGGTTAAAGGTACTAAATTCTAACATGAGAGACCTACTTGCAATGTTACACAAGGCACAATGGAGTAAGTTATGTCCAAGACCTAAGTGGTGCCTTCTGTGTAATGGGCCCACGCTCCCTTAAGTGCTCCCAAGACTTAGGCGGTCGGCATGGGCACCGCATGCACCTAAATTGCTTTTTAAAACATTGCCTACTTGGCTCAACTTGTGTGATTTGAGGGATTTAATTAAAATATACATCTTTTAGGGGATTTATTTAAAATACTTTAGATTTGGAGAAGCGATATTAGAAGAGCCCAACATTTTTTTGTAAATGGTCCACTGACATTTTTCAGTTGTACGTTCACATATAGGCCTATTATAGAAATTCTGATGTGAGAAGCGATTGCCGCCTTTGGTAACTCCAGAAAACTAAAAGTCCTATGATACGTTAGTCATGAATTCACCTATAGCTAAAGGTGCTGCATAGACTATCAGAATATTTAATTTGGTAGCAACTTGTTGAAACTCTTAGTTTGTGGAAAGCTTTGAAACATTGACAAAAATAGTAGCCTCAATCATCTGTAGTTTTCCTAGTTAAAATACTAATTTTAAAAAGAAAATTTACACATCATTTTATGGTCCCTATCTTTTGTTAGTATTGCTAATTCGTAATGGTTCCAGATAATTAGGCCTTGGAATCCACACTGAATCAAGTTCAAGCAGTTCTTTATTAAAGAGCAACTTAGACACTTGAGAAGAGGTTTGCAACAAAAGTGGAAATGAGCCGAAGAAAATTGAGTCTTAGATGATAACACTAAATACCTGGATAGAAAGGTTTCATCAAAGTTCATATTTAAAGAAGTTGGATATGAAATGTAAGATATGCTTGCAAGAGGTGTATGACGATTGTTTTAAATTAAAAATGTATTATATAATTGAGTACAAGTTTGAATAATGTGTGCATATGTTCAAGGAGTTTCCAAGGAGTCGAAGTCTGACATGGGGATATCTTGTATTGAACACTTTGGGAGCCCAAATGTGTGTCTGGGTAACTTAGAGTAGAACTTTTATCAGCTCTTTAAGACTTTCAAAATTCAAATGTAAGAGTAACATTTCATAAAACTTGAGGAGTTTTGCACAAAACTACCATGAACTATTTTTATTTGAGAAAATAGCACAAACTTTTACCTGCATTGCACATGTTCATAATCTGTGTTCATAGACATTTTTATGTCTTGCAAGTCCTATGTATTCTTTGGAAAGATCATTTTGTTATTTGCATTTTAAATATCATAGTTCAGCTATGATCTTATTCATATTCATTTGTATTTCTCCATTTCACTTATTTTTATTTTGTACACAGTTGATTGCACCATATTTTCACCACTTTATATTCCTTTTAAAAAAATTGTTTGCACATTTGGTTTCAAGGAAAAAGGTTCAAATGAGATCATGTTCAAGGCAATGGGAAGAGCTATCAACAAAACAGTTATGATCGTGGAACTAATTAAGGCAAGTCATTTCTAGATATATATCTTAATCATGGTCTTGTTCCCTCAGAAGTGAAAAACTTCACTGCATGTCCTTCAGTCTACGTTCTTGTGGTTTTTGTGTTCTTTGCAATGTCGACGCATCATATATAAATATGCTTCTGGTGCAGAGAAGGATCGAGGGTCTTCATCAAATTACTGCTATTGGATCTACTGACATCACTGATACATGGGAGCCATTAGAGGAAGGCCTGCTTCCGTAAGAAGACTATTAATATACAGACATTTGCATTCCTAATAAATACTTGATGGATATGCTGTGAAGTTAGTTATGTTTTTTAGATGTGTATGTTATTCAATATGATGTATGTATTTTGTGTTTTACAGGCTTGAAACCACCAGACATGTCTCAATGATTACGATAACTCTATCTAAATCAGAAATGGATAAGACCTCTGTTGGGTGAGAACAACAAACTTTTTTTCTGATCTTAGACTATTACTAATTTGACAGGGCATTCTTCTCCTTCCTAACCTTTGTTTTTGTTGTTCGCACTTGTCCTTTCAAGAAAGAATGCATATATTATACCAGACTCATTTTAATATGTCCATGTTACTTTCTGTTGGTTTAATTTTCCTACTTATACATATATGGTTTATGGATGTGAGAATTCTGAAAGTGGTCAGGAAAAGGTGGCCTCTGTTTATCCACAGTTTTGAGTATGAATGAATTTATTTGTCAAAAAGAATTCAATAGTGTTACTTAGGCATGGTTTGGTAGGAGGTGAGGGGGAGGTAGGGTGTGGGACAAAACTAGAAATCATGTTTGGTAGGGAGTTTGTTGGGGGGAGGTGAGGTAAGGTGAGGTGACATAAAGTGAGAGAAAACGCAAAATGAACATAAATTATGTAGAGAAAATTGCCCCCAAATGGAGAGGACGCAAGATGTGAGAGAAAATAAACTAGAAAATGGTCAACCTCCCCTCAGTCTCTCTCCAACCAAACATGAAGACCAAAAGGGATGTCCATCCCTCATCTCATTGCACATCCTTTCCCCATCGCTTCTCAAACCTTCTACTAAGGCAAGCCTTGATGTTAAGAAACTGCGATGACTTTTTTCTTGGACTGGTGAGATTGAGTTTGTTACAAGATTTTGATTGTATTTCCTGAGTATAAATATAATGTATTTATTATATTCATCTCGGTGTCCATACGCCTAATTGAAGATGACTCTCATGACAAGCAAAGATCTAATGGCAGACGGTTAATCTAAAAAGCAGAACAAAAATTTGACACATCATCTGTTGTAGAATCAGTTAACTTTCCACTTTACCTTTGTTACTACATCTGAGATTTTCCAGTTGTGGGTATATGCTTTGCTTATGTTCGCAGAGCATAGCCTTGGGAGTATTATTTAGCACACTATCAAGGATTAGTTATCTTTTGATATGTTAAAGCAGCCAGATGTACCCTTGCAAGTGGCCTAATGGTTGGGGTTTGGGGCATTGGCTCAAAAGGCCAAGGGTCGATCCATGTCTATGGCATGCTTGTCCCAATTTATAACTATTAGGCATTGCTACACTTGCTATTCACCTGGGCCTGGAGTGTGAAGGGGGACCCAGGTCTAGGTTACTTGGCTGGTACTAAGCCAAAGTTCCTCGCACAAAAAAAAGCCAAATGTTACTATGACTAGAGCCGTCTAAGTTCATAATCATGTTTTTTTTTACTTTTTGTAAAACCAGGTTACGGACTGAAGCCTTGGTAAAACAACGGAGATGGGGATCAGTTGTTGAAAGACTCAGTTTCAAACCCCTTTAGCTGGCAGAACAGTAGAAGCAAAGGAAAAGGGAATGAGAAAATGTTGAGTTTTTTTAGTTTACTGAACATGGTCCCTTAGTTAAAGGAAGATGGGAAATTGAATTTGCAATGGTGTATGGTTAGGGATGCAAAAGAGTATGGTTCTGTAGATATATTCGTAGGGATATTGATATATGCGAATATATCCATAACTATATTGATAGAATATGGATAGAAATACTAAATATTTATATCAGATAAAAATAAATAAATAAATACATAAATAAACAAATACACACATAAATACAACGACCTAAATTTTAAATTTTTGATAGAATATGGGTAATGACACAAATCTATACTACTATAAAAAGAGGAACGTGTGTTAAAATTTTTAATTTCCATTTTTGCCCTCTCAAATTTTGATAAATTATAACTATGTCATTATTTCTTATTAACCTTTTATTAAATAAATATAACCTAAATAATTATAATTATCAATAATATTATAACTATTATTTGTTTAAAAATAATAAAATAAAATAATCTATAAAATAAGTATATACAATTATTAGCAGTAATCAATTAAATTATTATAATTATTATTTATGAATTATAATAAAATAAAATAACTAAAATAATAGTATAAATAAAATAATATATTACTAATATTTAAGAGCAATTTTAGATTTAGGGATTTATTTAGAAAAATATTAACACTGGGCGATCATTATAAAAACATTCAATTACAATAACTATATAATAATAATTAATTCATATACTTCTTTTTAAGCCTAAGAATTTTGTAAGAGTAGTAAGCAAAAATATCTTATTGTCACTTGAAATTATTATAAAATCAGAGCAAACGAGTTACTGTCATAATACTCATGGAATTTTTTTATTATAAAAAATACTAGTGAGAAATAAACTCACCTCTAATGAGTATGGCTTTCTTCAAAAATATTTTACTTTTAATATCAACCAGATCCTTGGTGATATTTCTCTTTAAGGCTTCTAACGTCGAGCCTAGGCTTGTAGTATATATAATAATTTCAAGTACATGACAGTAAGATAGTATATATGCGTTAGATGAGTGTTATAGTATGAATCAATTATGTGACATATCTATTTGTATATATATGTATGCACATGTATGCATATAAATATTTTATAATAAGGCCTTTTAGGTAGGTTAAGGAATGTACATGTGGGGTTTAGTTGGTTTTATTTTATTTTAGAATTTTTCTAGTATTTATTTTAACACTTGTTTATTTTATTTTTTCATTTTATTTTAGTGCGTTGATGGATGGTTCCCCTTTTAAGTTGACGGGAACCCATTCATCTTTCAGTTCCTCGTATATCTAGTCTCGTTCCATGACCTCAGTAGACAGCTCCTGGGAGCCCAGTCTAAGAGATTGAGAATACGATTCCGATGAGATCGATCCAGAAGAGATATTGGATGACCATACGGCACCAGACTCCTTGGATGAAGAGTTAGTAGATGTTATTATAATAGATTCTTCAGAGTCGGAGACTGTTCCTTTTGATGATTATGAGCCATTACTCGAGGTTATTCCAATAGAGTCATCGCCCTCAGAAATCATTATGATCTCATCCGACTTCTCTGGCATTGAGTCTCATGTGGCCGGGATTTCCAGTGGTGATCAGGAACACGCCTCCTCTGAGGGCGAGTCAAGTATCCTGGATACAATAAACCTCGATCTTGATGGATGTGAGACTTGTGTTATCGATTCAGACTCTATGTCTGAATCTGGTAGTAGACAGGACTCGGAGAAAACCGAGTCAACCGATGAGGAGTCTAGCTTTAGCAGCTCCTCTTTCTCGATGGAGTAGAGTTTAGTCAGTAGGACAATTTTATAAGAACAGTAGAGTCTTTTTAGTTACTCTTTTGGTGTATATAAGACTTTTTGATAGAAAAATATGTATATATGTAAACCAATAAACTCGTATATGTGTATGAGCTGAAAAGTTAAATATCAATAATATATTTTTAGCTTGAAAATACTAACTTGTGTTATGTTATTGAGCAATGATTGAATTCATAATTACTTGACTTGTGTATATGTGACTGGCTTAGAAATTGTACAAGAATTTTATAAGAACAATAGATGAGTCTTTTTAGTTACTCTTTTGGTGTATATATAAGACTTTTTGATAGAAAAATATGTATATATGTAAACCAATAAACTTGTATATGTGTATGAGCTGAAAAGTTAAATATCAATAATATACTTTTGACTTGAAAGTACTGACTTGTGTTATGTTATTGAGCAATGATTGAATTCATAATTACTTGACTTGTGTATATGTGACTGGCTTAGAAATTGTTGTACCGTAGTTGACCGCACATTTTAGGAGATGACTATATGTAATGACCAAACTCATAGAGATAATGATCTCAATCAAACAATAAGTTGGATGATGAGATCTAGAGTTACTTGTGTATTAACATCAGGAAGTCAAGTAGATAGCAACACATTAATGGAACCACTACAAGCGATGACATTCGTAGTCATCAGACAACAAAATCAAATTGATCATAACCAGATGAATGGCTAGAATAGTGAACAATCAAAATTAAGGAGAGGTATGAGTGAGTTTAAGAAACTATCTCCACCCAGTTTTGAGGGAACTATTGATCAGATGATTGTTCAACATTAAATCACTGGAATGGAAAAAGTCTTTACATACATGAAATGCTAACGCATCCTACAAGGCTTTTAATGTGCCAAAAATTGCATTTTAAACCCGCTATGGTCATTATGAATTTCTAGTATTCTCATTTTAAATTTTGAACCCGCTATGGTCATTAGTGTATTGCTGTTTACTTGGTTTTCTGAGGTTGATGCACGAGTAACTCTAGATCTTATCATCTCACTTATTGTTTGATTGAGATTATTATCTTTGTGAGGAGTTTGGCCATTACATATAGCCATCTCTTCTTAAAATGTGCAGTCAACTACTGTACGAGAGACAATTTCCAAGCCAGTCACATATACACAAGTCAAGTAATTATGAATTCAATCATTGCTCAACAGCATAACACAAGTCAGTATTTTCAAGCCAAAAGTGTATTATTAATAGTTAACTTTCTTCAATCATTGCTTAACAATATAACACAAGTCAGTATTTTCAAACCATAAGTATATTATTAATATTTAACTTTTCAGTTCATACACATATACGAGTATTTAAGTTTACATATATACATGTTTTTCTGCTAAAAAGTCTTATATATACCAAAAGAGTAACTAAAAAGACCCATATACTGTTCTTACAAAATTATCCTACTGGCTAAACTTACTCTATTGAGAAAGAGGACTTGCTAGAGCTAGACTCATCGGTTGACTCGGTCTTCTCGGTCTTCTTCGAGTCCCGACTACTACCAGATTCAGACATAGGGTCTGAATCGATATCACAAGTCCCCTATCCATCAAGATCGAGGTCTACTATACCCAGGATACTTGACTCGCTCTCAGAAGAGGCGAATCCCTGATCACCACTCGAAATCCCAGTCACATGAGACTCAATGCCGGAGAAGTTGGATGAGATCATTGGAATAACCTCGACTACTAGGTCTTGGTCATCAGAGGGACCAGTCTCCAACTCTAAAAATCTATTATAATAACCTCTACAGACTCTACAT